CTCCTGAGCTCAAACAGTCAGCCCGCCTTGGCCTCCCAGAGTGCTAGGATTACAGGCATGAGCCACCACTCCCAGCCTGCATTCTTAACTCTTCTGAGGCACTGATTTTTGCTTTTGTTTTTGGAAAATTCCATTTTTTTCAACTTTAATATCACATACACAGTAACAGATAAGCTCTACAAAATATCACATTTGTACAAGTAGCATTTAAAATACCCTAAGCTTAAATAGTACATGTTGTAATTTTTTTTGTCTTTTGTATTTGTATTTGTTTTAGTGCTGCTAGATTATTTTCTCGCATCATTCAATTACATTAAAATTTACAGTAATTACATTTCTAAGAGAAAAAATTTAAAAATATGATCAATAGATGTTTTTTCTAAATAGAATTCAGTGACAGAATTTGCAGGATGCAAGTGAATGCAAGAAATTCTTTTCAGTGCTTATTACATTCAAGCATCCCAAGTGTAACATATCCAAAACTTAACACCTGCAGTCCTATCCCAGTTAATGGCAACTCCATTCTCCCAGTTGCTAGATTGTGACTCCACTCTTTCTATTACACCCAACATCCAGGTCTGTCAGCAAATCTGTTCGACCCTACCTTTAGAATATATCCCAAATTTGATCACTTTTCATCACCTCCACTGCCACCACCCTGGACCAAACTGCTATAATCTCTTACCTTGATTGTGACCACAGCCTCATTTTCCTGCTTCTACCCCTGCTTAAACATTGAGTCTGCTTTCAAAAACAGCAACCGGAGAGGTCCTGTTTAGATATCAGTCAGATTATGTCACTCCTTTCCTCAAGATATCCAGTGTCTTCCTATCCCAGTATAACAACAGCCAAAGGGCATACTGTGATCTAGCAGTCCCTGCATAATCTGACTGATTTCATCTGCTTGCTGTGTTAATCTGCCACACTGGTCTTCTCAATGTTCCTCAAACACACCTTCCACAGCCTGCTTTAGGGCTGTTGCACTTGCTATTCCCTCTGCCTGGAATTCTCTTTCACCAGATATCCCCGGGGCTAGCTTTCCCACTTCTTTTAGATCCTTACTCAGGTGTAACCATCACTTTCCCTAACTACTTTCTAAAATTACAATCCTTGTACCCCAAAACTTCTATCTCCTCCTACTCTATGTTCTTTATTAGCAGCTATGACTAACAGATAATATTTTGTGTCATATTGTCTCCAGTTAGTAAACTGTAACAGCTAAAACTTTTCTTTTGTTCCTTAATGTACCCCAAGTACCTAGAACACTGCCTGACACATAGTAGGTGCTTAAACAACACTGTTGAATAAATGAAAGAATGAATAGAAATAGGTTAAGAAACAATATATCTTTTTTTAAAAAAACAGCATCTTGCTCTATTGCCCAAGCTGGAGTGCAGTGGTGTCATCATAGCTCACTGCAATCTCAAACTTCTGGGCTTAAGTGATCCCCTCGCCCCCAGCCTCCCCAGTTGCTGGCACTATGGGCATGCACCACCACGCCCAGCCAGAAGCAGTGTATCTTGAAAATGAAATCATTACAGGACACTAAGAAGTAATCGTATTGAAATCAAATTAAATTTGTTTAAAAGAAGCAAATGTATCAAACCACTCGATATCTGATATATTTATTAGCTCATCTGTTTTTCTCCTAACATGACCCTAAATTAAAATGGCTGTAGGTGGTATTTTAGAATAATGGTACTTACAGATCCTGCCTAAAAAATCTAATCAAAAATAGAAAGTTTCCTGCCTGGAGTGATTCACTGATGGCCTACCACACAT